AAAAAAAAAAAAAAAAAAAAGTCTTCTCCAAACTATAGTGATCTCACCAAGGTTTCTTCCCATAACTCAGGCCCAGAAAGCAATGGGTATAGATACATCACTAAGCGATACAGTGGACACTCGCCACAAAGGAAAATGGGCAGCTGCTCCACTGAGAAAGGCTTTCAGGTGATCCAAAGGTGGCAAAAGAGAGGCCAGGAGCAAACTGATTACTTAGAAAGAGAGTCAAAGACAGAAGAAAACCAAGGAGAAGAGTAACAATCAAACGACATGTCACGAGCCACGAGCAGTCGCAGCGAGCTACCTAAGGCCACATGGGCTGGCTCACAGTGACACTGTGTCATGGGACGTGTCAACTGTTGTCATGGGACGTAGGAGTGGACAGAGGAGAATGAGAGAAGCTCCCTGGGCTCCGTGGCCACAAGACTTCAGGCTCCTGTCCACGGTACCACTTCCCACACCACGCTTCAGAAATGCGCCCTCCTCAGGACAGGAAGTAGCAATGCATGCGGTACCCAACTAGATTACCTCTCTTTTTCTTTCTTTCTTTCTTTTTTTTTGTACCATGGATTGAACTGGGGCCCTTGCACTTGCGAAGCAGGCAGCAGAACTACTGAGCCAAACCCCCGGCCTTAGATTACCTTTCCATACCGTGCAAATAATCAACTTCTTCCTGCATAGGGAAAACTGCATTAAAAATCTATAGGGAGGGTTAGAACTTTATTAAAATACTAGAAACAGAAAACCTTCAGCAGACTCCCCAAGATTAGTGCCACACCCTGTGGTTCTACAGAGCACAGCTGCCCTGTGGCCTCAAGCAGAAAGTTGTGGGGAAGTGGCCACTCGATGCGGCGAGTCTCAGCTTCCGTGTCCCCTCTTCTGGCCAGAAAGCATACTCATCGCTACCTGTGAACTTACTCTGCAGCCCCACCCAGCCACCTCCTGCTGTGGTACTGGCCATGGGTAAGAAACTGCTTCAACGGCAAAGTCTCATTTGTGGCCTGCTGATGTATGGGTTCCGATGACAAATAAGGACTAAAAAGATGGTGATGGTGGTGGTGGTGGTGATGGCGATGGCGACCATGAAGCCAAAGCTAACATTTATTTCCTATCAACCCCAACAACAACCCTTAGACCTGAGCACTGGATACACTGTGTGGATTACTAAGCTGGGCCCACGAAGGGGAGGAATTGACCAGCCAGTACGTGAAAGAGCCTTCTTTCAAATCAAGGCCACCGACCTCCAAAGCAGGCCACCCCAGAAAACAAGGTGTCCGGGAAAGCAAGTTTCACAGTGGTTGGGTGTCAGCAGGACTGGAACGCGGCTGAGGTCCAAGCGCACCGCGACTCCTGTTTTACACCTTCACACCGCCCAGTTCCACAGGAGCTCTGGGAAGGGTCCACCTCTGTGCTGCTTCACCACCCTTGGCCACGCCACACCCTTCACATGATCCTCACCCAGTGCCCTAAGGCAGCCTCCTGACCTCTCCCCCCACCTGCCACTGCTCAAATCCTGGGCCTTCAAGGGTTTTTGCAAGAAAGGCGAGACACTCCTACAGGGTGTTTTCAGCAGACACACAACTTGCTCTTATTAAATAAATTAAAGTGGATTTGGAAAAGAAGTGGCTGCAAAGACACTTTATACTACTCAAATCCTTAACCTTTATACTACTCAAATCCGTGGGACAGGACACGTGGCGCACGCCTGTGATCCCAGCACTTGGGAGGCTGAGGCAGGAGGGTCGCTGGGAGTTCGAGACCAGCCTGGGCTACATAGTGAGTTCCAGGTCAGTCTCAACTATATAGTAAGACCCTGTCTCAAAAAAAAAAAAAAGACACGTCCCTCTATTGGGACAAAAAGAGTGAAGGTGTGTTACAGACTAGCACCAACTCCCCGCAATGAATGTGATCATCGTGTACCACAAACATGGACTGATGAAAAATCATGCAGGCCTACTGGTTAAAAAAAAGATTTCTTAAAAACACATAGCAATCACAGGCACAGTTTATTCTTCACCAAGGCTAAATATGTAAAATTATTTAGAAAAATATACAATACCTCTTGTTTATTAGGTCATGGTGCTAGTTTCCTCTAATCTTCAAGAGAAAGAAAAGTTAAATGTTCAGATTGTAAAGAACACATTCGAATTTCCCACAAAACTACAACAGTACTAACATAGATGCACTTGCTAAGCTAAATCCTAAGGGACTAGGGATGGGGAACAAGTAGCTATAGTGTGTTAAAATAGCATACTACAGCCTGTGTGCAAAGTAAACATTAAAAGCACACGTACCATAATACATCGGAAGAGTTAAGTTCACAGTCTTTCTATGAGCCTCACTTTAAAATGCACGTAAGCAAGACCTACCACCTACACAGCTCAGTCAGCCTCCTACTCAGACACGTCATTCACCCAGAGTCACTGACTTAAAACTCAGGAAAGGGAAGCTCACCTCATTTCATTCTACAGTAGGGAGTTATTGTTCCTTTAATCACCAGCCTGCTTATCAGTCATCTTTATTAGAAATTGCTAGGTGTGGTGATGCACACCTATAATTCCAGCACTTGGGAGGCTGAGCCAGGAGGATCACTGAGTTCAAGGCCAGCCTGAACTATATAGTGAGACCCTGTCTCAAAACACAAAGACATTACAGAAATCTACCTTGGTGCGCTACAAAACCTCCATGAACTTACTGAAAGACTGGCTTTTTAAGAAAAAATTAAAAACCTCCATGGTGTGTGACTACAAATAAAAGCTAAATTTGCTCTGGAATTACTGTTAACACACAAGTGGCGATTTCAAGACATGTGCACCATGGAGTACTTATCCTGGCTTTACAGCAACAAAGGAATTTGGAGGTTGAGTCAGGCAAATGGATATATAAATATCTTATTTTTCATAAAACACAAATATCCAGAGAGAATAAACGTCCCACGATCTTCCTTACTTTTCTGCACCGTCTTTGTCTGACTGGATACCGTCTCCACAGCTTCAGCGGGCAGGCCAACATACACGCCTCCATAGTTTCTGTGAGACAAACCAGACCAATCTGAATGGCACAGAGAGAAGAAATACGTAACACAACACGCGACTGTTCAAAGTTGAATTGAGAAAACTTTTGTCCCTGGAAATGTTATTTTGTTTTGTTTTGTTTTTTTGAGACAAGGCATCACTATGTAGTTCAGACCGGACTTGAATTCACTATGCTAGCCAAGGTTGGCTTTGAACTTGCTCTGATCCGCCTGCCTCAGCCTCCTGAGTGCTGGGATGACAGGCATGTGCCACCACGCCTGGCTTAGGAGATATATATTAAGAAGCTATATGCAAAAAGAAAGCTATACTGAATTCATAGGCTTTTGTAGATATTTTGCTTGCAATGAGAAAGATGGAAATTGGGGGCATTTAAGTTAGTTCAGTGATGAACATGGGTAGAGTGATTAGTTGTGGGAAATCAGTAACATCAAGAATTCCGAGTGGTCGCCATGCTGGTAGGTGTTATGGATATAGAAAAACATCTCTCTCATAGAGAAACAGACAAGAAATGAGAGAGCTATAGAGTTGTGGGAGTGCAGCTGATCAAGGGAGGAGGCGGCCAGAGAGGCTGAGAGGAAGAGGGGCCGTTCCTTGGAAGAACAGCAATCCCAGAGCTTCTGGACACAGAGGTCGCACAGCGCCATGCACAGGACAAAGCCCAAGCTCAACTGAAAGCAGCACAGGCAGTGGGTCCTGGTGAGTTCTTTCTAGACCTCGGCCTGTTCTGTGGGCCGAAAGTCCTCCCCTGGAGCCTGCATTATTGGCGATGTGCTACAGCGTGAGCAATCCATAGGCACTGCGAGTAACGCCGGGCGATACCAAACGTACCTCCTCTTGTCATCTTCCGTTATCGAGTCTTCTGTCCTAAAAGATCAAAAGCATTTGTGATGATCCCCTTGGTGACAAGGACAGAGACCTTTTTCTGGTTATGAGAACAAAAGGATTGTGGGGACAAGGCTGACCGCGTCTGCTCCGAGTGTTTCTACCCAGTGTTTCCACGGCACAGTATTCCAGCTCACCAAGTGTGCCGATCCAGAACATGCCCAAAACGACCACTGCTGACCCAAAGGAAGAGCTGAGAGCAGGCACCAGGTGGAGGCCCAGCTATGGGCGGCAGGCTGCCATGCCTTTGTTTAAAGCATGGGGTCCACCAGATGACCCCAAAGGCTCCTCCCAGTCCTCGCACACGGAGTTTGGGTCTCTTGTGCCAGTTCAGTGGCACAACTATGGGTAGTGAAAGATTTCTTAAGTGCATAAAGACTAATGCCAGTTTGATTTCCTTTCATCTAAAGCCATGAGCCATTTAATACACACTCTATCACAAAGAAGGGAATATGTTCCAAAGGACGCTCTGGAGGGAGTCACTAATTTAAAACACACAGCCTCAGGCCAAGGATTTAACTCAGTGGTGCCACCACTTGCTTTGCAGGAAAAAGGTCACAAATTCGATCCCTGGTACAAAAAAAAAAAAAAAAATAGCCTCTTCCCCTGCATAAGGAAATTCCTGAGAGGGTGGGAAAACATCCCTTAGAGCTCTAATGAGCATGCATATTACTTGTCTGAAAGAAGAAAAGAAACAAACCAAGGTCCAGAGGTGTCCAGCTCTGCTCAACATGCAATTAATTTTAAGGGCTCGCACCGGGAGGAAAGCAGCCCGCACACATTAGATCTTACGACCTGAGAGGACCCAGGAGCACTGCACACCTGAGAGGGTGGGAAAACATCCCTTAGAGCTCTAATGAGCATGCATATTACTTGTCTGAAAGAAGAAAAGAAACAAACCAAGGTCCAGAGGTGTCCAGCTGGGCTCAACATGCAATTAATTTTAAGGGCTCGCACCGGGAGGAAAGCAGCCCGCACACATTAGATCTTACGACCTGAGAGGACCCAGGAGCACTGCACACGCAGCCATCCACTGTTTCTAACGTTGCCTCGCCGTGACACCTTGCACGTGCCATGCCCACGGGGAAGGGAGCGGAGACCTGGAGGTCACCTGGCGACTCCTGCCACCCACACGGCATGAGCCAGCTCCACCCCGAGATCCAACCCACCCACGCCAAGCACGGAGCCCGCACTCGCCAGATGATGATGATCGACTTCCTGTAGCCGTTGCTGAAGCAAAACCAATCAAAGGTGTCCAAGTCCTACCGCCTCAGAAACGGTGCCGTGCTTACTGAGGTGCGCAACTTAATTCAAATGGATTTATAAAGCTTCACGACAGATAGTGGTGAAGCGACGGGGACAGACCTGTCTGTGATTAGTGCAGTCTTTCTTGGGTCCTGAGTGACCAACACTGTGATGACGTTGTTTTCCAAGCTAAACTAACTGGTAGATTTGGACACATACAGAGTCTCATGTCTTTCCACAGCTAATTCTTTTCACAGCCCACTTAGGTACTTAATTCTTTCCCATTTTTTTTCTAATTCTACTGAAAAATATATTTTCTTTCTTCTTCTTCTTTTTTTTTTTTTTTTTTTTAGTTTTTTTGTTTTTTTGAGACAGGGTCTCACTATGTAGTTGAGACTGACCTGGAACTCACTATGTAGCCCAGGCTGGTCTCGAACTCACAACAATCCTCTCATCTCAGCCTCCAGAGCGCTGGGATTAAAGGCGTGCACCACCACGCCCAGCCTGAAAAATATATTTTAACTTTCCCAGATATAAGAAAATAAGAATTTATTTTAAACCCGTTATATTATTACTCAATAGCCTACAAAACCCAATGTGTGTTACCTGGTTTAAAATTAATCAACAACCTTTCCCCTTTAACTGCCAAGAAATGGTAACGTAGCTGTCCTATTTAATGGATAACAGAATTAAGCTTCAGATAAACTACAGTGTCTCCAGAAACACCATTTATAAAGCCTTCTAAGATGTCTACTCTTCTGTCCCTTCAGGTAAGTCACAGAGCCTCCCTTTGGACATACGCCCCATGGAGAAGGCTGCCCCTCTCTCCACACCTTCCACAAAGTTATTCTTAACCTTAGCGACGGTGCCATTCCACGAAACAGCTCCACGAGCTCAGGCCACGGAAATGGGCGCGGGGAGTCCCAGAATTAACAACCAAGCAAGACCCACCAGCAAAGCGGACGTTCAAACCCCAGCCACCCGACACCAGACCCATCTCCCCCATCCTGGGCCAACACTCGGCTTCTAAGGGGAAAGATGCAGATAGCCAGGCGACTCCAGAAGGGCCAGCAAGATCCCTCCTGCAAAAGCTTGGAGTGACACCCGGTCTAACGAGCAGCACTCTGCTAAAGCCATGACTTATTTACCCTGTAAGACAGGTACCAGCCTCACCGTAAAGATGAAAAGCTGGGGCCTGGAGAGGTTGATAGCATGACCAGGGTTACCAAACTAAGAAAGCCAGAATTCAGACTCAAGCTCGTGGGATCCCAAATCCTGCCTCCTACGTACGCAGTGAGCCTGTGCTGCTGTGCATCTGAGAAATACACTTCCCCTGACTGCAGTCTATCTTCAGTGCCGAGGATCCACAGGGACAATCTGGGAGCACCATGCTGGGGACAGAGCCCGACACCCCATGGACCCTCGGGGCCCCACTCAACTCCAGGTACATTTCCTTTATGGCCTCTACAGTTCCAGGGGGAAGGCGGCAACTGCTGTGTGGCTCCCAGCTGGGACTGCAAAACCTGTCCCCCAAATCAGTGAGGAGAGCGGGGGGGGCAGCAGAAGGCAGGGCTCGCTGTCCCCCCGCCGCTGAGGGAGAGCCCAGGAGTCTAGGGACCAGGTGGCAGGACTGGTTTCCACCGGGAGCATCCTCCCCGGGGAAGAAGAGCTGCAGATGGAATTCGCGCAGGCTGGGAAGACAGTGGAAATGAGGCCATTTCACAGCGGAGGGCCCAGCAAGAGGCCAGGACGCTCCAGGGTGGGTGGTGGTGCACTCGGGAGTTAATTGGTCCCAGACCTGACAGTCAGCTGGCCAGTGACTTCCTCCCTGGGGGAAGAAGACAAACCACCCACCACAGCAAGGGGAGGGGACACGAACCAGAACCAGGACCCCAGCTCCTCCAGGCAGAGACGTTCAGTGTGAGACAGAAGATGGGAGAACCACAAGAGCACCCCTCCGTCTAACATAAATGAGGAGGGGACCTTGCGAACAGTGTACACCAAGAGAACAGAACAGAGTCGCAAAAGTGAGGTCCAGGGCACCACAAACCAATCAACCAACATCAGCGAGGAAAAGCTAAGCGCCGTCCACCTCACCTGGCCAGTGCCTAGGACGGGCTCCGAAGATCTTCTGCAGCCTTGCTGTCCTGGGGCCAGAGGCTGCAGCCGGCCAGGGAGAGAGAACCCAGCACACAGTACCCAAGATCAGGGCACTCTGGAAGCAGCTGTGCAGCAAACCGAGACGAAAGCTGCTCCTGCCGGACATGTGCTGGACTGGAAGCTGCCGGCCCTCTCCTCCAGACCCACCACCGCCCCACCCATTGGGCTGCCAGGGCTGGGACCCTGAAGACTACCTTCTCCCACCAGGGGAACCAGGGAGAGGATGAGTCGCCCAAGGAGCAGGGGATGGAGCTCCCCTTCCAGCTCGGCCCTCTCCGCCGGGCCCCTAGTTCCACCCTCACAGCAACCCCCAGGATATCCCCGTCCTTTTGATCGCTGTACCTCAGACGGCAGGGGTGCAGCCGCCAGCCCCGAAGGCTCACAAGAGTCAGGCCTGACCGCCTCTGCGCCGTGGGCCCCTGCCTCAGGTCCCTGAGGTGCCAACCTTACAGGTGACCCTCCACGCTCAGTCTGGGTCCGTGCATCCGCTGTACCCTGAGCACCTCCATTCCGATAACCCCGGCCTCCTGCCTTAGTCGCTCCAGGCCTAGCAGGGACAGCGACTTCCTGCTATTCCTGTCTCTACTACCTCCATCCTCTTCTTAGGTTTCTGACTTGGCCAGCTCCTGACAGCGAAGCCTCCCTGCTAGCGGTCGGTGTGCTGGATGTGGTGGTGTGTACCTGGGATCGCAGGACCTGCGAGCATGTGTCAGGAGGAGCAGGAGTTCAAGGCCCGCCTGGGCTCACAGGGAGACCCTGGTTTGTTTCTTGGTACCAGGGAGTGAACTCGGGCCCTTGAGCTTGCCAGGAAGAAGGCGAATGAACGAAGGGGGGGGAATGGGGGAGGGAAGGAGGGGAGGTTCCTTTTCCTCGACTGGTCCCTGACACACTACAACAGCACGAACGGGGCTCCTGGCCCAGCCCCGGGTTGAGCACGGCTCTCTGGAGCACCTAAGTCCTTCCCACTTTCTGCCAGGTGCGGTCGCGTGTGGCACGGTGGACGCAGGGCCAGACCGGGATGGATGCTGTGGGCCGTGCACACCACACCTGATGACCGCACACGCCGCTGCGGGGACGAAGCACTTGCCAAGCCAAGGGTTTCTTCACAGGAAGGAGGAGTTACACTCTGGAGGCTGTATGTTCTGCGGGAGGTTGGCTTTTTGAGGCAGAATCTCCATCCCTCCCTCTCCCTCCTGGACCCTTCGTCCTTGGGTCTGGACACTGGGCCAGAGGGCCATGCCTTTCGCTATGATGAACCAAGCCAAGCTCCTGCCCCACACTCCTGCATCAGCCTCCTTTAGAAATACACAGAAATCATATGTGTATTTACCATAATAAAAAGTAGAACGGGAAGGGTAGGAGGGGGGTGTAAAAAGAATGTTCTGTACGTGCACCAGCTCCCCACAAGGATGTGGTCATGATGCACCGCAAACTGTACTAATAAAAAGATGGAAAAACCCAACAGAAAAGAAACCGCGTTAGGAAAGGGCAGAGAGCTAACGGAAGGCTGCCTAGAGCGGCCAGGAGCGCGGCCCGTGGCTCAGCAGCCTCTTTCCTTGCTGTGCAGGACTAAGTGTGCACTGAGCTTCACCCATGACCTCTGCCCCCCAGGAACGGTGCCCAGAGGGGCCACCTTGGAGCTGCTCAGGGAGTGCAGCGGGCTGGTGCGCTCCTGTCCTCAGTCCGCGGACCCGGGGCTAGGCACACCCTGCAGTGGCGATGGTCCCCAGGCCTCAGCACTCAGGATCCTCACTGCCCTGGTACCAGGAAGCCCTGCCCACCTCCCGGGGTCCAGAGCAAGCTCACATCCCAGTTCCAGCAGCCATGGTAGACTGCTCAAGTCCCACCCGCTGCACCTGAATCTCAAACTCCGGTGTCTGCTGATCACTGCTGGGCAGACCACCCTGTCCTGGTCAGGATCTCTCGGGCCTGTCTGTGCCAGCCTGGCACCCTCACAGCCCTTCCCAGGAGCGTCGATGATGAGACCCTTGGCTGGGTGGCAGCAGATGCCCCGGCTCCCAGGGCCGACTGTGCTGTCCTCACTTGTGCCACATCTGGCTCCAGGCCTTCCCCATCACAGCCCTGACCACACGGGACACAGGGCCCGTGTGGATCTGACTTCCAACCACAGATCCAGAGGCAGGGGAGCAGGTGCTGGAAAGAGGAAGCCCAGAGCAGCCTGACTCCTGTGAGGGGCCACTGCACAGAGGCACCCAACACACTGCCACCTGCCTGGAGTCTCCTGAAGTCCCTGCCAGGACGGGGAAGTTTCTGGCTGGTGCAGTGGGCAAGACTTCTAATTGGTCTAACTGAGGCCAAGGGGGCACTTCTGGGAGAGGACAGAGAGACAGAAGAGGCCACAGCAGCTGTCTCTGCTCTAACCGGTGCTGCAAGGCCACCGAAACCGGAGGCAGGAGCGCCTGCAGAGCGGCCGACACCGGCAGGCACACAGCGAGCTCGCCTGGGGCCCGGCCCGACCCTGAGTGCGGAGCAGCACCCCTGCCCCTGCGGCTCCGTCTCAATGCTCTGCCATGTTCTGCAGCCAAGCAAGGGGCAAGTGGGGAAAGGAAAGGCCTGGAGGCAGGGCGACTTCTGTCCCAATAGCGGCTCCGTCTCAATGCTCTGCCATGTTCTGCAGCCAAGCAAGGGGCAAGTGGGGAAAGGAAAGGCCTGGAGGCAGGGCGACTTCTGTCCCAATGCGGATACTGTTATGGGCCTGGCAGGGCCAAGATTTAAACACAGTTTACTTTTACCTCTTGGCTGACAGCTTACCAGTAAACTGCTGTCAACCGACGTCTCATTTCCTGATCATTCCAACCCTTCGAAAAATTTATGGAACACAACGTAATATTTGAAAAAAAATTGAGAGTGAAATATTCTTTAATCATAACGTCACATAGCATCTTATGAAAACCACCTTTTAAACCATAAGAACATTTCCTAGAACCGGGGAGCACGTATTCACCATTCTGAAACAAGTTTGGAAAACACTTTGGGTATTTAATAGAAATTGGGTCTCTTTGTTTAGCAAAGGTTTAGCGTCTTTTATCAAAGAGCAGGTGTTCAAGGAGAAAGAACATGCCAAGGTCAAAGCCAGCAAGCTCACTGGAACATTCTGTGCTTCCAGGCCTGACTCAGGTCTCATGATGGCAGAAACAGTATTAGCCAAGGTAAACCGGCCACACAAGTTCGAATGCCCTCACTTTCAACATCTGTGGTAGCTGGAAAGACACAACTCAGCTGACAGTCCGTGGTACTGTCTTTGGTTTGGGGTTTGGGTTTTTGGGGGGAAGAGGGATTTTTGAGATGGGGTCTCACTGTGTAGTCCAGGCTGGCCTTGAACTCACCAGCTGCCATGGTCCCTTGGTCCTCGCTCCTCTTGTTCCAACTCCATCGCTCCTACCTAGAGAAAACCTACCCATGGCTACCAAGGGGGCCGGCTTGGCGTCAGCCACAGCCAGGGCCTCACCGCTGAGTCCTCTGCCACTGGGGCTCTGCGACCACCACCACCAGGTCTCTGCAGTACCCTTGCCCACCTGACCACATATCCTCCAGGGCCACAAGCACACCGGGCCCTACCTGGACACCTGTGTACTGTATCTGAGCCCCACGCCTCTGGGTGGTCACCGAGCCTCTGTGGGCCCCAATGCCCAGAAACACCGCCTTTACCCCATCAGTCTGTCGTGGGAACAGATGGACAAGGTGATCACAGAAATCCCGAAAGCCAGAGCACAGTGTAGCCCTCAGTAAGGACCAGCTACCTCCAGAATAAGGATGATGGTCCTGCGGGGTGCTGTCCCCAGGGGCACAGTGTCACCTGAGGCTCTGAGATCCGGGTCCCTCTGCCTCTCCAGAACACACTGGGCTGTGCCGCACCGGGAGGAGAGACACATGCAGGTTCCTGACTCTGGGGGACACAGGGACTGCGGTGCATGATGTGTGGGAAACTCACAAAGGACTCTAGGAGTTAGAAATGAGATTCCTGACTTCAAGTTTTAAAAAGACAGACTGTCAGTATGCTTTATGTTGGTTCATTCTGAGCCATTTTTCCCTAGATTTGCTCCTTCTGCAACAACAAAATAGCTCTGTCAAGAAAGGAATTTTAATGAAATGTTACTTTATAAACTTTAAGTGGAGGCAGTGCTTGAATGATCTTGTTTAAATCAAGAGGCTATGATTTTTCTTTTATTTTCAACAGCAAACATTAAACTGAATCAACTTATCAAAGACCTTTTTAATCTGCAACAGTCTTAAATACTGTTTTTAACCACGACAAGTGCAGGACGCAGAGAACAAGCTTTGTTTCTAATTGCCCAGTGACAACTGCCTCCCTTTTCTGGCAGCAGCACCCCAGTTTTTCTAGGGGGAACCACCAGTCTCCCCTGCTTTCCCCACAGAGAAGAGGGGAATCAGAATGGCTCCAGCACAAGGCACATGACCTGGGGCTGGCCAATCAGAATCCTGCTTTCCATTGGCCCAGTGCTTGATTCCAAGAAAACACCTGACCCAACTGGGGCCCACCCGGCACTGAGAGCCCAGCCCTTTGATTCCAGAGGAACTCCCAGGATGAGAAGCTACCATTCCAGAGGAAGCCCTGGGCTGATGAGACACCAGCTGGCCAGCTGTCAACACTTAGGGAAGCCACCTCAGCATGAAGCCAAACACAGGGCCGCGGAGAGCAAGAGCTCTGTCCCCTGACCATCTTCGTCCAGCCGTGACCAGACAAACCCCGAGAGCTTTTCCACAACACGTGCCAATGAATTCCTTTTTGTTTGTTTGTTTAAAGCAGTTTAAACTGGGCTTCTGCCATTTCCAACCATTTCCAACCATTTCCACCTATCGGTGCCAAATAGTGAAGAGAATTCACTGAAATGAAAGCATAGTTGATTTTGCAAGATTGCAAGGCAGCCAGATGTCACCGCCTTGGATTTACTTCTGCTTTGCTTTCTGTTGCTGTACTGAGATCTAAAGAGACGGAGAGGGGGAGGAAGAGCTCGCCGTGGCACAGATGGGCCTGGGGCAGGCGGGGACTCTGGGGTGGTCCCCGGGGCTCTGCGTCTGAGCCCCGTCCCCTCTGTCTGAACCCTAACCTGCGGGATCTGCTCCTGTCCATTTCTCACCACAGACAGCCTCTCCCCGAACTTACGTCCACGCCTCCTCCACTTACAACAATAAACACAAAAAGCAAAACAGACTTCAACATGCAAATCATCCGTGCATAGACTCAGGCAGAAATAATTAAAAAAGTGAAGAAAAGTACAAAACATGAACATGTCTCTGCCGGCAGGGCAACGGCTGATTTCTTCCTTTTCTAAAAGAATACCCTTTTGTACTTTCTGCACCTTCTTGGGATTTCCTCTGTATCAGAAACGCCTGGCTTCAGATGTGCTTCTTCTCCAAGCTAACACCCGCCGGCCCTCCCTGACAACACCCCACAGAGACGGTGTGTGACCCCACTTCCCCACTTCCGCTCTGGCTCCGTGGTCCCCCAGGTGACCTGTGGGGCCCTCGCATGCTGTGGCTCCCTCCCACCTCCCCCCGTCCTCTCCGGGTCACCTCCCTTCCTGCCTTCCCTGGCTCAAGAGAGGCCTCTGGGTGCTGCTCTCAGCTCATCCACGGTGGCCCCTGCAGACGCCGCCCTTCCCGTCCCCTGCTCACCTCCGTACCTCGCATGCCTGATCCCCCTGTGCTTCCCCCACCCCACACCTACCCCACAGGCACAGCCCGCTGACTCCCTCCGCCTGGAAATCCCCAGTGGCTCCTGAAAGCAGCACCCTTGCCCCTTCTCGGCTCCCCGCCCCAGGGAGCTGGCAGGTGGCTGTGCCCAGCAGACCCCGCACTCTCGGCTCTGTGCCCTCCCATGCCCAGGTCTCCACCCTTCCCCTCTCTGAGGAACCTGCTTAGCCAGGGCCAGGTCAGCATTAAATTCTGATTATTTGCTTAATTAGCACTTGTCGCACTGTGTCCTGGTCCTCAACAGACAGTGATCTACTGAAACACACAGACTGAAAGAGATGAATGTTTAAATTTTTTAAATGTATAGCAGTGAAGGAAACATCTCCACGAATCTCCTTCAAAATACCCTATTCACTTCCAACACACGCATCCCATGTCCGTGCCCCTTTCTGCAGCAGCTCTGGAGTCCTCTTTCCTGAGGGTCTTTAATTGTACTGTCATGGCTGCCTCAGTGTTGAGAACGGACTCAAAACATTTCCTTTCTGGTTGTTTTGACTTTGAAGAGCCAGAAGTCGCACGGTGCCAGACCAGCGAGTAGGGTGCATGAGGACACAGCCTCATGTTTTTAGGCGCTGGCTTGGTGCTGAGTGGCACGGGGTGGTGGCAGTCACCTTGTTTCGATCACACCGCACACAGAAAGGCACTGGGGCACAGGACTCCTGGGGCTCCTTGAGGGTGACAAGGATGATGGGGTAAGTGTGTTAGAAGTGAGGGGAGGGAGTTTAATGGTACTGTCTCTTACTACAATCATTTTTAAAATTTAAATATTCACTGTAGATTTTTATCACCCTCGTGTATAGAAACACCATTTTATTTATTACATACTGACTTCTTACCTATAGAAAAAGAAAATGAATATAAAGACAGCAAAAATTGCCAATTTCCCCAAAGAATTCATCTTTTAATACAGATTAAGATAACTATAATATTTCTACCTTCCAAAGTAAACATAATGCTCCCACGACACTTCCGTGGTCTGTGTAATAGGCGACAGATCTGTGTAGATTCTCCACTCCCAGTACCTGCTGTGCTATTTTGGTTTCTTCTAGTTTGGGATCTAACTCTTTAGATAAAATAATTTAAAAGTTTGATCTTCATAACAAAATTGTCAAATTATCTTAGTTTCTTAGCTCCTCACTCATCCGTAGTACCACCTAATACCATAGTCCATACTTATAGATCTATAGCTTCTATTTTTAAAACCAAGAATGTTTGAATATATCATTTTGGGGGGCAAGGAAAAGTAATACAGTAATATTCTTTAATTTTTCTCAGTTAAATTTACTGAGTTTTTTGAGACAGGATCTCACTATGTAGTCCAGGCTGACCTGGAACCCACGGCAGTCCTCCTGCCTCAGCCTTCCAAGTGCACCCCACACCCAGCCTGCATGTATTTTCTAAAGGGAGGGTCATTAATTTAATAAAACTACTTTTGTAGTAGAGGTGTAAGCAGAGAAAATTTAAATACAAAGAACTGGAGAGTTAAGGAAGTAGTATTTAAACAACGTCTCACATCCACAACAGTTCATTCAGATGACAAAGTCATGGTGAAATTTTATTAGAAATTTCCCAAAGAAAAAGGAAGGCATGGAGACAGACAATCCCTCCTTGAGGACAAGTGATGGAGTTCACGTGGCAAACACCACCACATGAGACACAGTGACCCTGAGCCCGTTACTGTGGGACACAACTGCACCACCTTCACTCCCAAGAGAGAAGAGACCAAAACACAACCGATCACAACACAGACCAGCATGCTGCCTCCTCAGAGGTCTAAAGTGAAGAGCAAACAGCATCCTCGGGGACAGAATTAGGGAAGGCTGCTGCAGTCTGGGAAACTTCAAACCTCCAAAACTGTGAGCTAAATAAAGCTTTTCTCTCTATAAAATTAACTGCCTCAGGCATTTTGTCACAGAAACGACAAACTGCACAAGACACAGGCAGAGGGGACAAATGAAAGCCTTTATATTCCCAAGGGATTCTGGGCTCAATCTAGTGCACGATAAGATTGAAAAGGTTCTGGCAGTCTCACAAGCACCGTGCAGGGCTTGAGGAAAATTCATTTATAGCAGTATCTAGAGACAGAAGGAAGAGGCTAAAGGAGAGACCAAAACACCACACTAAGGGAAGGTGCAGGACTCCTGTCCTACATGTTTTGGTAACAGACTTGAGCACAGCAAGCAGGAGTTGGAAGCATTCCATGGCTGCTTCTTTTGTGCCTGAGGTCCCTTATAATATGCATATTTCATTCCAGAGAATGTGACCCGTGACCCCCATTCAAATCTCCTCTGACCTCTTCTTTGTGGTGTAAGGGTCTATTTCTAATGTTGGGTCACTGACGGCTGTCGGCCCCATCACTCCAACTTTTGCCTAACATAGTGCAGCCAGTGAAAAGTCGGGTGGTACTTTCCTGTGCCAGCTGAGAGGTCAAACCGCTGGCCCTGCCGAAGGACCCTGGCCCCACTACTCCCAAGCCCCAAAGAAGGCCATGAGTTCAGGGGACCAGTGTGGGTCCCGCCTGCTCTCCCAAAGGCCTCGTCAAGTGAGAAATACATCTCACACCACTGATGGCTCCAGGGGTCTTGACGTCCAACCTAGCTGGGAGGAGGCTTGATCCGGACTCCACAGGACTCGCACGGATGCTGACATGGCGGCTCCTGAGACAGTGACAAGCACAATGGTTTGGAGGGTATGGAATGAGCTCCTGAGTGCAAGAGATGCCCTTAATAAGGTCCCATGGGCTGCAAGCAGCTCACCGATGACCTTGGGGGGCAGTGTCCTGCTCCACTTTCTGTGGCTTTAACAAATTCCCCGAGGACGGGTCATGCGTAAAGAATGGAACTATATTTGGTTCATGGCTCTGGGAGCTGAGCAGTCTGAGGCAGGACTTGGCACCCACTAAGGCCTGTTCACAGCATTGTGACCTGGAGAGGGGCCACACGGTAAGACAGCGTGAGCTCCAGTCTCTTCGTCCTCCTGTACCACCACCAGAGCCACCATGGGGCCCTACCGCAGGACCCCAGTCTTACCCCAGTCACCTCCCGTACGCCCTCCCTCCACTCGCCATCAGCGCATGAGCTTGGGGGTCAGGTTTCCAACACAACTGTCGGGAAGGCCCACTCCCACCCCGGCAAGTGTCCGGCCGTCAACTTCAGAGCAATCAGTGCAGGGGGCCTTGCTCCAGCCTCTCCTCCTCGCCCAAGCCTCCCATCAAGTGAGGTATGAGCTGCACCCTCACAGTCACTTCTAACAAGAAAGAACCCCTCAAGGCAAGGCTGAAGGGCAACGAGACATCACCCTTGTCCAAGACAGTCAGCACAAGCCCAGAGTGCAGGCTAAAACAAAAAGCCACACCCGGCAACCTTCTCTTCAAGCAGAGCTTGCAAACCTAACCCTGCCCTGATCTTTACATGTCCCTAGCACGAAAGTATTTCCGCATCCTCTTAGCCAATCCTGCAGGGCTCAAAAGGTCACAATCACACAAGCAATGCCTTCCTCAGAAAGAGAGCAGATAAGGTCAAAAAAGTGAGCACTCACGCGTCTTTCGCTGGTCCTGCGGGCCCTGGGGAGAAAAACAAAGACAGGTTTGTATTGGAGTGAAAGCAATACAGCAAACATATTAACCCCAATATGTGGCTGAGATAATATTCTAGGAGAAACAACAATACGGTTTTTAAGACCTCATTTCAGAAAAGGAAAGGGGATGGCAGGAAATCATAAAATTCAACTGCTCAGTTTCAAACCTTCCATCTCAGGATTTACTCTGCCTGTTTTTACCAGTCCTCTAAAGTGCAAGGCGCTGGCTCCCAAAGGGATGGTACTGATCACATAATCCCATTTCCCGTTTCATGGGCAAGGAAACCGCCAGATTTGAGAAGCATTTTCTTTGCTATGCCACTCGCTTCCTAAACTGGCATCCACGCTACACTGTGCTAAGTCACACTGTGCACTGCTCACAAAGTGACTCCGAAGTCACAGGTCGAAATCCAAGTGTCGGACTGGGTGAACTTGGAAGTCTCAAGGACACCAGCCCGCTCCAAAAGGGGTGATAAGAGACCCTCACTCTGCTGTCATTCGTGACTGCGTCTCTTTTCTCTTCCTACTCAGGCAGCAACCTGGCTCCCACCCATCCTAGCTCCGCTGCCCACACTCTCCACCCCGTCCTTATGCAGCACGGTTCCTTTGACCTCTTACAGCCTCACTTCCCTCTTGGGTCCAATGAGAGTAAAAAGAGCACCTTTCTCAAAAATTTCCAAACTGTAGGAAGACAGTGTGTGTAAACATGCACAAGTCAGGGCCAGTAGTGCATCGTGGAGACAATCAGACTGTGTCTCAAAGACATTTTTTAGGGCTTTGACTAAACCTGAACTTTGTAATAAACTTAGTAATGTTTCTTCAAGGGTGACACATTTGTGAGCTGGGTGTGGTGGTGCACGCCTGTAATCCCAGCACTGGGAAGGCTGAGGCAGGATAGCTGTGAGTTCGAGACCAGCCTGGGCTACATAGTGAGTTCCAGGTCAGTCTCAACGACACAGTGAGACCCCGTCTCAAAAAAAAGTGACATGCTTGTGATGGTATAATTAAAATCAGAGAAGAGAGGGAACAAACACTGGAATCTAAGATCACTGAAACTAAAATCTTAAAATTAAAGAAAAAAGGAGCAGTGGCGTACATCTGTGACCCCAGCTACTTGGGAGGGTGAGGCTAGAGGGTGACGACTTCCGGGACAGCCTGGGCAATTTAGTGAGGGCCCAACTCAAAATACAAATTAAAAAGGAAGGAAAAGGGCCTGGGATGTCTCTGCTCGTGCACCCTGGGTTTGCTCCTTAGTACTGAGGGAGGGAGGGAGAGAGGGAGGAAGAAGGAAGGTAAGGAGGAAAAAAAAAAAAAAAAAAACACTGCCAATATAGGTTAGCAGCACCATAAACCGTGAGAATCAATACTTTATTTCAGGGTCAAAACATGCAGAGACTCTGGAAGGGAGTCTGCGAGAAAACAGTATCCTTTTTTAATTTCTATTTTCATGGAAAAGACAGGGAATGGCGTTAGGGTCTGTAGGGGTGACAGCAGGGGAGAAACTTGGAAGGCACAGGTCTTACAAAAGGAAAGCAAGAGGAGACTGGGAATCTGAGCCCTGGGGCATCCAGCGCCTCCCAGAGGGAGACAGAGTGAGGGATGCTGGGTGAGGACAGCGTGGGGCTGAGGCAGAAGGTGCACGTCCGTGTCCACCGCTCCGACTGCCCACAGCGCAGCCAGGCAGGCAGGCACCTGCTCCAGGAGCTGCCTCCATTGCCCCAGATTGCTCCCCACCAGCTCCCGGGTTAACGGCTCAGCGGCTCTGTCACCAGGGCCACTATCCCTTCCCTTCTCCGACGGCCCTCAAGGAAGGGCAGAATCTACTCAGCAACCACAGCAGTGGGGACCGGGACCGGAACGCTGCTGCAAATGCATTCAGGCACCTGGAAAACGCACTTGATCTTCACACAGGGAAGAAAATGCATCCCAGAAGCTGGGTAACGTGGTGGTTAATGGAAAACCTACATCCAGGAAACAATGGGACCATTCGCAAGTTCATTCAGTTAAAAAATATATATATATTTTTGCAACAGTTGGAAACCCTTGGTAAAACTATCAGAAAAAGGAAACAAAATTGCCTTTGCTGCAACATTTTAACCAACCTATATTTAACTATGTAATTAATAAGATTAAGATTTCTACCTGAGATAATTTATGCAAAAAAAGGTACTTCGACCAAAACTACTCAGATAGTGATGAAATCCCATTTGATTTAAGCTATTTGCAATTCACGTGATGTGGCGTTTATTAAGCCAGCATTCACAGTGGTGCACCTATTTTTCTGGGCCCCAGGGAGCCATCATTCCTCCGTTAATGTCACTTCATTTCCTGGCAAACTGGCTCTTTCCTGCTTAAACATAGCCTTGGCGGCTTACAATAAAAGGGCCTTAGGAGACACAGAGATGAAGGGAAGGCATCAGTGTTTCTTGGGGGTTGGGGGGAGACAAAGAAAAGAAAAGCACCAGAAAGCATAGAGAATGTTTTGTGTGCCCAAAGATTTAGTTTTTAGTTTCCAAAACTACATAAATGATAGTCATCCTTTCAAATATCTTCCCCAAAAAATGAGGAGGGGAAGGTCTGACCTCAGAAAAGTACTATATGCAACTTCAACAACATAAAGTGACTTTAAACACTTAGGATAGCTGAGAACTTTTCCTGTTGAAAGTAAGGTGTTTCTTTAACACTTTTAAAATACTACTGGTTGTCCACATAATCACTTTATCTTTCCAGGGTGATGTGCATCTTTTACTTTACACACTTGGGAAGATTTTATTTTATTCATGAGTCTCAATGCCAAAAGTCTGTTACTTAAAAATGCGAGCAACCCCAATTCATGTGAACACCCAGCACCCGAATCTGACCCTGGGATGTCACGGAAGGAGACTTGGTCTCTCTCCTGGTTGCTGGTGCGGGGCTTCAGACACCCTGGCATTTCCTGCGTGGCGAGGGTGACGGGAGCCTTCTTCTCTCGAGCAAGGTGACACTGGCCAAGCCCTGGGCAGCTTTGGGACAGACAGGGCTGGTCCTGAAACACCTGGGCTGTGGGAGAAGCTGGGGCCCAGAGCCACGGCCCAGGGCACGGCAGGGTGCGGCAGCTGCTGGATTCTGGAGAACAGAGGCCCCTGTGCACCCGGCATCCAGGGCCCCCATGCTACAGTACAGGAGTGGGCACAGTGTCTCCCCGGGCTGGGGCAGGGGTCACCAGCATCAGAAACACCTCTTGGTAACCCTGTTTCCACAAGTGCTTGTGATTCACACTGAGACTGAGCTGTGCTGTTTCTCTCGGCAAATAACTATTTACAGTCCAAACACAGAGGCTTCAACAATATTTCCTCATATGCTACTTTCACCCCATTCCTGAACTGCAGGAAAGAGCCTTCTGCGCCCCTTTCCCGGGTGCCGCCCCAGGTGGGGGTGACACAGTGGTGTCTGCTGTCACAGTCGTGGTGGTCGGAAGCCTGGTCCTGGACCGGGGCTCCACGTGGACAGAGGGACCTCCCGCTCCTGCCTCTGTACCTGGGGGCCCACCAAGGTCACCTACTGTGGTGGTCTCCTCTCGAAAACCCCTCCCTTCACATGTGCAGAGCCCCTCTAACCAAACAAGGTCCCGTCCATGCATCCCGGGGACCAGGAGCAGACACCCCTTCCCTGGGCCACGGAAGTCTCGTCCTGCCCTCCCCTCCTGCAGAAACGATTCATTCTGGGCAGGGCTGTGGCTCTGGGAAACAGCGCTCACCTAGCCTGTACAAGGCCCTGAGTTCAGTCTTCATGAAAACTCACACACAAGGAAATAATGAATTCTCTTTTGAAAAGAAATACATGGCAAATTAATATTTAGGGAAAGACTGTAATTAAGGAAACATGTCACGCATCCCATAAACACAAAGATGTCGCTCCTAGTGAACAAAAGAGCAAGCGGGCTGCGGGACAGCATCAGCTCAGAAGCTGGAGCAGGAACACGCACCACCTTGGTCCCGGGTGGCGAACCCGCGGCACGCGAGCCGCAGCAGGCACAGAGACCCCAGCAGGGCTGGGGCCCGGACATAAACAGCGGGGCCGGGCTGCGGGTTCTCACAACGCCGGCCCGCTCTCTCCGCGGCTGAGTTGTGCAGGGATCGCTGGGCCGGCTTCTCACATCCCACATCTTCACACCAAGAACGGTTCTCTTCGGCCTGCCTGCCCGTCCCTCATCTCTTTTAAGAGATCAAATGTGTCTTCACATTTGAAAAGTAGCCCATTATCGTCTTTCTGATCACTATACGATATGCGCTTTATAAGGTTTGTGAAATACACTGAAAATATTCACCACTAAATAAGTTGCTAAGTCACATATTAAGTCTTTTTTTTGGGGGGGTACCGGGGATTGAACTCGGGTCCTTGCGCTTGCAAGGCAGGCCACCGAACCGCTGAGCTAAATCCCCAGCCCCCACATATTAAGTCTTATTTCATTCTTCCATGGGGTGGTGATGATTCACACACACATACACACTAAGAGTAAAATTATATACGTAACGGACTTATAAAAATTACTACAGATTAAAAATCACCGATCATAAACAAGCGACTTATGGGAAATAATAAAATCATGCAGGAATGGTTTGGTTTATTCTTTGTCCACTGAGAACTGTATAAACACAACTACAGAAAAATGGACAAATTCTCTTTAATTTTGACATCCTATGGGCCTGTAATAGTTCTAAACGATGTCATTTTCTCTGTTTAGCCAAAAGCAATGAAACAACAGCTCATTACTTCATCCAAAGCAATGCTTATTAAGAAGCCAATAAAAAAAAAAAAAAACGAAGTCTCATAGGCAATCAGGGGCGATGTCCTAGAAATATGGACGTCTGCCCACACGGGCGGAAACTCTGAGAAGACCGCACAGGCTCCTGCTGGGCAGCGACACCTTACTGCTCTCCTATGGCCAAGCCACGTCTATGCCAATCTCAAGGTGGCTCGTGGCGGCACTGGGCACCCTTGGGTCCCTTGGTCACCTCACGTGCCCTCGGGATCTGGAGTGGAGGTGGAGACGCTCCTGACCGCGAGGTCATCCTGCCCCTCCCACCGCCCTCGGTGAGGGCTGTGGCCTCCTCCCCGTTCCAGGCTGGGACAGCTCTGCTTCCCGTTACAGCCCTCCTCCTCCAGCCCCACCCGCAGGGCCCCTCGCCTGCCTTCCCGCGACCCACCCGGGGCCTGCATCCCGACACCGGGCCCCGGACTTGATTTGGCCCTCAGCGCTTCCACGACTGCAGTCGATGCCTTTAAATCGCACCTCACGTCCACAGCTGCCCCTTCTCCTCCTGCAGTCACAGACACCTTTCCCCGTAGGTGGTGAGCTACAGGGTGCGCACAACAAACAGCGCACAGAGCGCTGGAATACATGAGGCACTGTTCTAAGCCTTATACACGTCAACTTACCTCATCTTAAGTCACAAGTTCTAGCGTTGCTCCTCCATTTTACAGCTCAGGAACAGACAGCTTAAGCAAGTTGCCCAAAATCACACAGCAGACAAACTGCAAGTCTCCCTCCCTGGCTCCTCCCTTCTTGATCTGCTTCCTGACCACCATGACGAGAGCATCTTCCCTCCGCCAGGCCGCTCCGATTTGGAGTCAGTGGACAATGGGAAAAAATGGGAGCCGAGTAAAGCTCTGCCTTCACTTGTTGGTGTTGGGTTTTGAGTCCCTGCGATGAAGAAATACACACATCCACTCAATGAATATTTTTTGAAATCTAAAAAATATAATCCCACTGAAGGTTTGGACACAGCCGTGAAGAAACTGGGCTCTCAGGCCTCCAGACGGGAGGGGAGCACATGAAATAAGAAATAAAACAGCAGCTCTCTGGCAAAAGGTCCTCCAGCCTGGGCAAACCAGAGAGTGGAGCGTGTTTAAAGAACAGGAACAAGGCTGATGACTGCCTTTCTCTTCTTAGGTGATGCAGGAGGGCAAAATCTTTATCCCAGGCCTGCCTGCACATCATTTCAACATTTCCAAACCTCTGAGAGTCGAGTAAGGCCAGGCCAATGTAGCTACATCCAAAGGGAACGCAGTTATCTAGCTAATTGAGGACAAGGAAATAATGAATCTAAATAATTGGACCCAAAAGGATTATACTAACTCCCTAGATACACTGATCAAATAAGACAAATAATTGTTGAGTTCCTCCTCTGACAATTATTTTATAAATAGCAGAAGAACCATTTTAGAAACATTCTGACAACCAACTGCCCAAAAATTACGGTCAGACAGTTGCCAGTTACATATCCTTGGCAGAAACTACAACTAGCTGATTATCAAGAGCCAAGCACTTCTAAAATAACTCTCTGGAAGGAAAATAATGACTCCGCATGGAGACAGGCTGCTAGAGTTGTCTGGGACCATCAGAACTTCCAAAGGACTTCCTGGTTTACACAAAAAGCAGCTTATTTTCTGGTTTATACTTCTCACTCACCAGTCTGGTCGGTCAAGGAAACAGTAATTCTTTAGGTGAAGATGCAGTTGTTCGTCTCTCTGCCTTATCATGGGACAATTCAAGGAAGAACAACAGGACAAGGTGGCTGGTACAGTGCACCACACTGCAGCACAGCCATGCCCAACAGCTAATGGGACACTTTTAGACACTCATCGGATCCAGGTGGTTCTCCACAGAATAGGGTCTGAGGTCTAGACTTAGGCAGCAAAAATGTCCCAAGTCCTCACAAAACGAAAGCTCTCCTATTATAGTGCTAGGCTTGGAAAAACCAAATTCCTACCTTTAGATCGTGATAGTAGCAAATCATGAAAATGAGCAGCTCCGAGAAAAGGCGGTCGCACCAGCCCACCTGGGAGCAGCTCCACTCCTCCTCCAGGAAGCCCTCCCTGATTAAAGGCGACCCGCCACCTCCCAGGCACGTGGTGGGGCAGGGATGCTCCACTCCACCCGGCTTAGCACTGCTCTTGCCTGCTTCCTCTTCCCAGCCAGACCATCGGCTTCCAGCAGCAGGAGAACCTGATTCCGCCCTACCAGCAGGCACGCGGCTGCGCTCACTCTTCCACTCAAAGCTCCCACAGAAGGCCCTGCGTGCCGGCATGGACACGCATGGGCCACACGCAGAAAGCCCGGGAGGGCTCCATCGCCCAGATTTATTCGGGGCCTGATTGGTTTCCCTCTCCTTATGGCCACTGGAGCTTTCTGCCGCCCGCTGCAGTGTCCCCAGCCAATTTCCTCAGGCTGCACCGTCACCGCACCAAGTCCTCCATCCGGACGGCAAGAACGGCCACTGTCTAGAGCTGGGAAAAAGGATCAACAGCCGCCTGAGTCGCCTGATTACTTAGGGAACAAAATGGAGCTCAGGGTGCTGACTTCAGGTTTGGAGACATTATCACAATGCTGTGAAAGCAGATTTGCCATTTTCTTGCAGAAAAATATCCAAAGAAAGCCTCCTCCCCTTGAACAGGATAATAATTTTTACTCCCGTGTGGCAGTGACAGTCTACAGAGTGCTCACCGGCATCATTTGATTCAGTTTCACACACGCCCTACAGAACAGGGCATGCTCGGTTATCCATCCCGTGCAGATGAAGGGACCAAAGTTCAGAAAAGCAAGAGAAAACCGATGCCCACAGAGACACAAGCACACACTCAGCCACCACACTTTAAAATAAAACTAGTACAAAGCTGTTCGCCAAGGCGCGGCACAACTCTGTCTGCCCGGCTCTCTGCAACGCCCCCTTTGTACTTGTTTATTTTAAAGTATGGTGGCTGATGTGCCAGACTCCTGGGACACTTCAGAAGCCATGTTCTGTGCGCATCTACAGGACAGGGACAACGTCTCTTTGGCCCCAGTCGTATCGTGGCTTGAGTTCAGTGCCAGCCTGCAGCTTGGTCCACCGAGCACTTGAGGCTAATGTCAGAGTTTACAGCGCAAAGAGGCTCAGGACCCTCGCACTGCGTCCTTGCTTTACCCTTCTGACTCTTCTCCGTGCATTTCCTTCTGAAAAGAAATTCCTACCACCCGTGGACAGAAAATAGCAAGGGCCAGACGTCAAAGCCAACCCCAAGCAGGAGCAGGGAGATGCTGGAGAACAACTTCCCCGGTTGGATTCTGTGCGCCCTACCTTGCTCCTCCTCTAAACATAAAGTCACTTCCAGCACAGAGCAGAACACATGCTCTTACCTGCACCACCCCTGTACACAGAAGCACTTTGAGTATTTTAACATAGCTATACCTCCGTTTACAGAACAATGGACGTATTCCTAAAAAATCAATGAAATATTCATAAAAAGAATCATTTTCCGAAGAAATATGGTTATGTTAACACTGCAGAGGTAGCTTATATTTTATCATCATCCTCACTTTCATCTAGTAATGAAACTTCCCCCACCCCTAACCCCAAGAAGCAGTTCATTAATAAAAATGTAAATGCACTAACCTAGCTCCAGTTTTAAAGGAATCTGCCGTGAATCTTTCCTACAATCTTTTTAAATGTGGATAATTGCTCTTAGCTTTATTTTTAACAGCACTGCCTTCATGGGGCCACACCTCTGGGTTCCGGTGTGCCCGTGACAGGAGCTCAGGCCTCCATGTACAGCTGGCTGTCCACTCTCAATCCTGTCATTGACCTCATTGGCACAGACTCACACTACCCTGCTGCCCCTGGCTGTTACAGAATCTAAATGCCCTGTTCCTCCAGTCTCTCCATCTGTCACAGGGCCAGATTTCAATCCGGATGGTAAAGGTACCTGTCACAGATAAACTTTAACAACGAATGGCTACCTGGGCCCATTCGCACCTCTGAGACTAGAGTCCCACCCATTTCAGCCTCTTTTCTCCAAACAGAAGATCCCAGGGGTACGACCACTGACAAACAGAAAGGAAAAACAAACTTGGCCAGTGAATGAAACCGATTTCCGCACCAGTCCTATTGGCGTGAGCGTCAAAATAAACTAAAACAAGCGGGGTTCTGGTCTGGGTTAGGGAAAGTGACAGGCCCAAGGTCAAAGTCCGGAGCTGCTGGCTTTGCTGGCTGGGTGGAAGTGGCATCTACCGCTTATCCGAAAGGTCTCAGTCCCAGCTCTGCAGGAACAACTCCAAAGGGATGGGAAGCTCACAGGCCCGGAGACACTGCTGGGCTGGGGACGCAAGTTCTGACTCTTAGCTACTTCCCTGGACGCGCGCCTGCCTGGTCGGGGAACTCGACTCCCTAGCTCAGCTCGACCGAGCGGCGAGGGCGAAGTTTCAATGAAATACGGACCAGCCGCGCCGCTGGGAGGGAAGCCCCACCACTAGTGTCTGCGCATCCCCGC